AGGTAAGTGCAATTACTCCCATCTTACAGATAAAGAAATTGAGGCACAAGAGGTTGAGTAACTTGCCAAAGTCACACAGCTAAGAAGGATTAAAACCTTATCAATCTGACTCTAGGTTTAGCCCTTATACTATGTTGCCTCTCTTCATTTGAACTCAAAGGGGCTCAATCTATAAAGGAGTTGGTTTGGTCATAAATAACAGGCTCTCTTTGCCCAGCTCAGTGGAAAGATTGAAACTAAGCACCTCTTGTTGTTACAATTTGATAACATTGTGGAGTAGGTCTGAATGTAAGGGTAGCCGATTTCATGCTAGTCATAGAGTGTGCAATTAGCTGTGTATATTTACTTTATATGAACTAGTGATAAGATAAAATAATCTTTAAGAGGCTTTTTTTTCCATGTATTTCTTGTTGAACAGTCCCTCAGGGGATCATTCAGCAACACCGAATTAAAAAGCTAAAAAAAACCTCAAAGTGGAGTTTTCTTTAAATAAATCTAGTAAAATAGTTACCATGTTGGGCAACATTTCAAATGTCTCCTAGAACCCTTATACTCCACAATGATGAAAATTAAACTAATACCTTTCTGAAAAAAATTTATAAAATTTTCAATTAATATATGTATTCATGTAATAAGCACTTATTAAATACTATGTGCTAGGATTTGTGCAATACACCGGACAATAAGTTACCATTTACTGAACTTTGATGATGTTGGTGTTTTTCTTCCCATTTTTTAAAAAAAATTTATTTATTTGAGAGAGAGAGAGTGTGTGTGCATGTGTGCACAAGCCTGAGGGGCAGAAGGAGGAGAGAGAATCCCAAGTGGACTCCAAGCTCAGCACAGAGACTGATGCCGGCCTCCACGTGGGGTTCTTGAGCTCACGACGTTGAGATCATGACCTGAGTTGAAACCAAGAGTTGGACACTTGGACCCTTAACCAACTGCGCCACCCAGGTGCTCCTCTTCCTATTTTATTGCTGAAGACATGGTGAAGTTAAGCATTTTTCTGGAAGATCTCAAGTCACACAGTGGCAGAGCCATATTTGAATCCTCATCTATTTGGTTCCAAAGCTGGGCTATTGCATTAACTCCAGTAATTTGGATTACAGATGGATACTTCACTAAATGAATTACTACAGGAGTCCTGTAAATAGTGAGCTTCCATAGGACTCTTTATATTGAATTCTTCTTACCATGTTTAAGAATAAATCTATTATGAAAACCATACCACAGTGTTTTATGCAGGGTAGAACTCATTAAATATTGTTGAATGAATGTAGCTTATATAGGTTAGCTTTGGAGTTATACATGATTAGATTAAAGGTCTCCATTTTACTCTTTAAGCTACACCTTGGTTATTTGTAAATCCAGGAAAAGTACTTCTTTGTCTTAGAACCACTGAGGAATAAATGAGATAATGTACATGCAACATCCAGCTACTCAATAAAAAGCAGTTAAAAAGCGATTTTATGATCTTGAAATGATTATGTTCAGGCCATAAATTGGGATCCTAGGTGGGTATTAGGTGGACAGGTCTAATCATTAGAACTACTGGGGGCCATAAGAGAAAGGAGTCATTGAGAGACCTAAGATTATAGGCTTGGTATTTGCTGAGCAATGGTGTGGTTAAAGACAGAAATGGGGAAGTTAGAAGCTATATTGGATTGAAGGTGCAAGGCTTTTCATGATGTTCTGCAGAGAAAAATATATATAGGATTTGAAGAGGCAAAGAAGACAAATTATATATTGGTTGAATGATTAGAGGAAAAGATGGATGAATTAATACATACAAAAATTAATTCAAAATGTACCTATAAAAAACAACAAAATGCTGTTATTGAGTGCCAGGTACTATGAATTTATTGCCTAGTAAGAGAAGATCTATGGTAGTAGTTCCAGAATTTCTATAAAAGAGAAGCTTGTGGATAGCAATCTCTTTGGAAGAGTGTGGAGAGAGGTGTCTGGGTGGGGAAGAGGATTTGACCTGACTCTGTAATCTCCTTAGATAAGAAAATACCAAAAAAGAGGGAGGGGCACTGATTGAGATTAGGCTAGAACTAATTCTCCTCAGACTAACCCTCAACTCTGTCATTCAGACATATGTAAGTAAACAATAATAGGGCATCTGGCTGGCTCAGTTGGTAAAGCATTTGACTCTTGATCTCAGGGTTGTGAGTTTGAGGTCCACACTGGGTGTAAAGATTACTTAAAAATAAAATCTTTAAAAAAATAACTAAACAACAATAAATTAATGCGATATTTTTTTAACAGGTTTCCAAATAAAGAGCTATGTAAGCGAGAAGGTAGAAGCATTTAATTTTCCTTGGGGAAAGAGTAGATAGAGGAAGGATTTAATGAAAAGGTGTGATTTTAATCTACTCTTATTTATCACACTGGAAAAAGGGAATTAATGTTCTAAAGGCAAGGAACACAGATATTCAAAGACCAAAGAGTTAGAGATCCTGGCAGACTATTCAAAACTTGGCTGAAGTGGGGATAAGGCTGGAGATGAAGGGTTAGCAATCGCCTAATCATCATAGGCCTACATGTTATATCAAAAGTTTAGAAATTCACCTTATGATTGATGGGAACCACTGAAGGATTTCAGTCCCGGGAGTGACAATGATAAAATACTATGAAACATTTTAGGAAAATCATAGGACTATGCCTTTGAAAGAGGTACAAGCAACATGACCACCCCAACCTCTTCTTTATAAATGAAATATAAGGAAAAACATGACTAAAACAAAGTCCCTATTCTCAAGGAATTTACATTCCCATGGGGAGAGACAGACAATAAAAAATAGATATATAATGCAGTATCATATAGTGGTTTAAGTATTGGAAGAATAAAGCACAGGAAGGCACAGAAGGATTGGGCAGAGGTAGTCTTAAGGCAAACTCAGTGTTCTCACTAATCTCATCTCATAGCCGCCATAAAAAAATATGGTTTCAAGATCTCCTCTCACTTTACAACATCTCTACTATATTGAAATCTTAATGTTGCAAACTAGTCCATATATCATTTATTGTCTCATAACTTCTTTACTTTCTTATATTGTCTTATATGTCTTACTTTCTTATATTGTTGTCTTGCCAAAGCCCACAAAATGAGTACTTTGCCCTCTGATGTTTATAGAACTCATTATCAGGCTGCACTGAAAACCTTTCTTTACCATCACTTCTAGTGTCTCTACATTGCACCCAGACCCAACTCTTCACCGTTTTGTCTTTAATTTCCATGGCTTGGTTTACAAGATCTGTAGGTCTCCTTCCTTTTCTTCCTTCATTTTTTTGCTTAAGAAACATATTCTGTAGTGAGTGCTTAGTTTGGCAGACACTGGCTAGAGGCAGAGAAGGGCAAAATGTGGCCCTGACCTCTGGAGCTGATAGTTGTACTGCAGAAGTGGAGGCTTGAGGGGTGGGGGATCAGAAACCTGTGAGGCCAAAGTGGAAGAACCATTTGCTGCTGAGCCTTAGATGCCTGGATTCAGGTTGATAACAATCCTGTGTGATGTGGACAGGGCTCAGAGGCTGAGGAAAAGGGGCGCAGCATATTAATTCTTCGTCAAGGGATGCCTGGGTGGCTCAGTAGGTTAAGCGTCTGCCTTTGGCTCGGGTCATGATCCTGGAGTCCCTAGAGGGAGCCCCAAGTCGGGCTCCCTGCTCAGCGGGGAGTCTGCTTCTCCCTCTCCCTCTGCCCCTCCACCTGCCTGTGCTCTGTCTCCTTCTAATAAATAAATAAAATATTTAATAAAAAAAATAATTGTTCGCCAAGGGTTTACGGTCCTTTCTCCACCGTCAGGAAGTCCTGGCCAAGTCCCACCCTTCAACACCTGGGGCCTAAATAAAAGAATGCAGATCTTTGGGAGCTACCTAAATCTACTGAATCACAATGTCTAAGGGCGGGGCCCAGATATCTGCAGTTTAATAATGAATACCCCCAGGCCATTGTTATGTACACTTAAAATGTGAAAACCAAAGGCTTCTCCTACCTTTTCTCACTTCCCTTTCACCTTAAGTAGTTACCATTATCATCCCTATTTTCCCAAGGAGGAAATTGAGGCATAGAAAGGTAGGTTAATTTGCTGAAGTCGCAGAGAGCTAGGTTTGGAATCTACACCAACCGAGATGCAGCTCCTAGTCTTAAACATTACAGTGCGGTCACCTCTTGCTAAATAATTTGTTGCTAAATACTTAAAGAAGCACAGGGCTTCTTTGAAAAAAGTCTGAAGGCCCACTAAATTTAGTCTGATGAACGTTGGCGATTCACTCACATTTTGAATTTTAAGTCCCTCGCCGGTAAAATTTAGGTCAAAACACCCCCACCTATAATACGCCCCTGACCGGCTAGGCAAAGCAGCCCGATGGGCAGGGAGGCTATCGATGACTTCCGCGCGCCTCTGCCTGTTGGATTGGCTCGAGGCTCTCCCGCCAGGCCTGCCCTACTCCCGCGCGCTGGTGGGCCCGCCCCCGCCGCCATCTTGGTCTAGGAAGGAGCCGGCCGCACGCGAGAGTAAACAGCCCGACCGGGAAAGTCGAGTTCTGGCTCCGTCGGGGTGCCGCGGGGCAGCCGCGGAGAGGACACAGTCCTGATCTTCGTACGTGGGCTAAGTATCGGGGCCACTGTGCTGGGCCCTGGCAACCCTCAGTTTAGCGCCCCCTCCGCCCCCTCGCGGCGAGATGCCTCGCTCCCCGGGTTTCTCCCGCCCCCCCGCGGGTCTCCTCCCACTGTTGAAAGCTGCCCGGGAAAGTGGTGGCGGGAGCGGGCCTGGTCCGGAGCGCAGCGTGGGCCTGGCTGCCTGTTGTAAGGCGCAGGAGGAGGTTAGGGTCTTGGATTTGGGGGCCAGGGGCCTGGCGTGTGGACGCGGTGGGACTGTGAGGCCGGGGGCGGGCGCGCGGGTCTGGGGCCCGGACTCGGACCGGGCCGCCCCAGGGCTGCTGCCATCGGTCATTGGGTTTTCTCCTTTTCCGGTCCGTGCCTCAGGGTGGCCGACATGACGGCCCCGGGTGAGAGCCCCCTGGCGCCGCTGTTGGAGACTTTGGAAGACCCTTCCGCCCCCCATGGAGAGCAAACCGACGCTTACCTGACTCTGACCAGGTAAGGCCCGCTGGGGTTGGGGGTGAGCGCTCTGGTGGGTCTTGGGAAGAAGATAGTTGCGGTGGGGCACGCAAAAACGAGTGTGTGTATCCTAGGAGTCTGGCAGCTGTGAGGACGCCGGGGTCGCGGGCGGGGGGGGGGGGTGCGTGCTAAGTGACGTTCCCGGGTGTTGCTGCAGAGCTCCAGGCGTGTGTTTGGAATGAGGAAGCCTGCACGTGTGTCTGGTTGGCAAAGGATTTTTTTTTAAAGTTTGGTTGGAAGTGGGGATGCTGGCGGGGATGCTTTTCAGTGTAAGCCGCCCATGTATTGGGACAATGTAGCAACTCAGAATCTCTTATTTAATAGAGAGCAATAACCCGGGTTTCATTTGTAACTGTAAATACCTCACTATTTTTTTCCCTGAAAATCATATTTTGCTGAGTTATCTACTTATTTGGAAATGCTAGCAAAGGGTAGCAATTGGTACAAAACGACAAAGATTTAGTAAATTTTTAGTAAATTTGTAATTTGGTCTAGGTTTTCGTGTTCCCTCTTTACGTGGTGATACTGTCCAAACGTGTACGCTGTGGAGCAAAAGTTTTTCTTAAGGGTTCTTTTTGCGTTAATTTCAGACCGTATATTTCATGATGTGTTGTATTTACAAGTATGAAGTATTGTAAGCACTGGGCCAGTTCAACTTGGTAGAGTTTTAACAAACTTTAGAAAGAGGATACAAACGAGTATATGGAGTAATTTAGGGAGTAATTATAGGTTCTTTTGTGTGCCATTTGCATAAGCTTGTGTTCTTTCTGCTTTTAAGTCGAATGACTGGAGAAGATGGAAAAGAAGTCATTATGGAAATTGAGAAAAAACTTCCTCAGCTATTCAGAGTTTTAAAAGTATGTATCTGTTTATTGAATAGTTTTTTGTTGTGGGAAAAAAAAAGTTTTACTAGCTAAGTCATAAAAACTTTGAAATGGAATGAGAGCCAGATTCATCATTGTACTGTTTCAGTGTTTAATACGTATCAGAGTACTTTCTTAATTATCTTACATGTATTCTCTTACTTAATCCTCCATGTCCCTGTGAGGGTACTCTTTAATCCCCACTTTGTATTGGTTTAACTTGCCTAATGTTGCCCATGGCCATGTGAATGCAAAACCTGTGCTTTTATTTTATTTTTTTAAAGATTTTATTTTTTAAGTAATCTCTACATCCACCGTGGGGCTCCAACTCACCAACCTGAGACAAGAGTCCCGTACTCCCCCAAAACCTGTGCTTTTAATTTAAAAGCAGTTAACAGCGATTATTTCATGTTTCTTGTCTTTTTGTAGGAATGTACTTGTAAGTAAATGATTCTGTAATTTTGTCTTCGGTCTCTTTTGTAGCAACATTCATTTTTGTTTTTTACCTTCACTCACCATCAGTTTTTGCCACTCTTGTCTGGTTAAAAAACCATTATTATGGTTATCTTTTTTGCTTATTTGTAGGGAGGTGTTATAGTTTAACATCAGACTGTGGACTTCTGTTCTTATCCTCAATTGAGTACACAGTGGCTTTGTGACTGTCCTTAACACTTAATTTCTGAATTCCTTGTTTTTAGAATGAAGAGGTTGAACTTCATCTCCAGAGTTTTTATTTTTATGCCCATGTTTTGTGCTTTTAAACAGAGGTATTCAGTCATATTTAGTGTACATTTTAGCATGATTTCCAGTTAAATGTTGAGACATTTAAGGGACTGTCTACCTGTGAGTATTCCTGTTATAGTCAGCAGTGCTTTTTGTTTGTGTAAGCCGAACTTAGTTTTTATGTAGTAGTTCAGGACTTATTAATAGTATTATTAAACAATATTAATTCTAATGTCCTATTTTTCTTCATTATCATGTTCCACATCTCAGCAATATATAGGATGTGATGAAAACATGCATCTTCATAAATTTGGTGTTCAAGAATATGTAGGATCAGGAACTCAGTTGCTTGCACTATTTAATAGAGTTCGTAACTTAAATGCCTGATGAATAGTTATTTGGAGGCATGTGGGTGGTTAATGATAGGAAAGTCAACAGAAGTTTGACAGTAAACAAAACTTTCTGGGTGAATTATTAAGCACTGCAAGGATAATTGGATTCCTTTAGAAAAAGAGCCAGGTTAGGTGAAATATAACCTGTTTCTGTATAGTTGTTTACAGTTCTGTTAGTATTGAGTCTAGGAATCCACATTTTTTTTTAAGATTGATTTATTATTATTTGAGAGAGTGCGGAGGGAGGAGGGGGGACAGAGGGAGAGAGAGAATCTCAAGAAGCCTCCCTGACAAGGGGGTCAATCTCACGACCCTGAGATTATGACCTGAGCCGAAATCAAGAGTCAGACGGTGCCCTAGAACCCACGATATTTTTTTTTTTCTGAAGATTTATTTATTTAAGAGAGGGAGAGCGCGAGTGCGCTCAAGCGAGCTCACAGGAGAGGGAGAGAGAAGTGGGACTTAGATCCCAGGACCCTGAGATCAAGAGCTGAGCTGAAAGCAAGAGTCAGTTACTTAAGGACTGAGCCACCTAGGTGCCCCACCCACAACATTCTTGAAGACAACAGTTACGGAATACTTACAGGCAATGTGTGTGTGTATTTATTTATTTTTTTTAAAGAACAGTTTTTATTTTTAAGGATTTATTTATTTGACAGAGGGATACAGCGGGAGAGGGAACACAGGTAGGGGGAGTGGGAGAGGGAGAAGCAGGCTTCTGCCCGGCAGGGAGCCCGATGCGGGACTCGATCCCAGGACCCTGGGATCATGACCTGAGCCGAAGGCAGATGCTTAATGACTGAGCCACCCAGGCGCCCCCAGGCAATATATATTTAATAAAAAAAGTTTATCACAGCTAGCTATTCTCCAGGAGATACAGTAGTAGCTCTCAGTCTTAGGTATTTAATGCTGTCTTTCTGTGGTTGTCTGAATTGGATGTTTTATTTATTTATTTTTTTTAAAGATTTTATTTATTTGACAGAGATAGACACAGCGAGAGAGGGAACACAAGCAGGGGGAGGGGGAGAGGGAGAGAGAGAAGCAGGCCTCCTGCCGAGCAGGGAGCGCAATGCTGGCCTCGATGCTGGGCTCGATGCTGGGCTCGATCCCAGGACCCTGGGACCATGACCTGAGCCGAAGACAGACACTTAACGACTGAGCCACCCAGGCGCCCCAGAATTGGTTGTTTTAATATGTCTTATGCTCCAGTGTTTGTTTTTTTTGTATTTCATTTGATTAATTGTATAAAAGAGGTGCCCCAGGGAAGTGTCTATTCATATACTTAACTTTTCCTGCTCAAGAGCAGCAAATACCTGAGGATTCCTTGGATATCTGATTCAGAGCAGTGGGGGGATTTGAAGATAAATCACCTTGAAATAGGAAATGGTACCAAGAAAAACAGTTACAAATAAACAGAGGGTTGGGGAATATAGCAAGACTGCCTTTGACAGGTTTGGGATTTTATAGCTTTTACATACGTAATATGGGTCGGACTTTAAATTCCAGATCAACATTTGTAAGTGTTACATTCCAACCCCTGTCTGTCTGTTCTACTCTAAAGCTAGGATGCCAGCTTTTGTTTTTGAGTCTTTTGCTTAACCTTTTGTGGAGGTGTCTTCAGCATTTTCCATTTGTTGGCTCTTTTATTGCTTTCAGCTGTGTGGAGATGTTCCTTTAAGAGAAACATTCTTTTTTATGTGATCTCTTTCTAGTGCTCTTCTTCCTTTCTTTGCCAAGCTATATACATATGGCTTCCTGATTTTATTCCTTTGTCTACTCTCAAACATTTGTTGATTGGATTAAACATAATTTTTTTTTAATTTTCTGGTCGATTTCTGTTCTCTGAGAATTTATTTACAATTTTAATTGTTTATAACAAATGTGCTTTTTGTTTTTGTAGATTCACATTTCCAGTCAGAATTCAGACCTCAGTAGTGCTGCTCTACAGGCCTTGGGGTTTTGCTTATATAATCCCAAAATTACCTCAGGATTATCAGGTAGTTAAATTTATTATGATGTAATATTTTTAGAGTTTATATTTTGGCGCTTGGCCTGGGAGTGTCTGACACCCACTGTGACCCAGAAAAAATATTTTTAGAGTTTATAAATATGGTTTGATATGTTAAAAGTATTGTTACTTCTCTATTATTTTGTAACTTGTAGTTTAGGATTTGCTCTTGAGAAAGAAATAATGTTTTGATTATCATGTTTTAGAAGATCTCTTTTTTTCTAGACATAGCTTTAACTCTGATACCACAAAATTTGCTCTAAAAGAATATAAACCTATTTTAAAATGATTGTAACAAAAAACTGAACCTTCTCTTTTATATAAAGCATATCTGCTTTGGAAGGTAATAAGAATTTAGATGGTTATTTATTATATAAAACAAGCATATGCACTAAGGAACAGGCTGAATTGAAAAGTTCTTTTACAAAGTGGTACTGGGATAACTTGGACCCAAAAGTAGCTAAAGTTTTCAAGTAATCTTAAATACTGCTCTATAGTTTACCATTTTAATGGAAACCTAGGAGGTGATCTTTAGAGAGTGGGAAATCCGGGACAGGGAATAAGGATGCCTGAAAGTTATTACCATCTTCTTTTTTGATGGTAAAGTTTATGCCCTTTCTGGTTTATACATACAGATGTTCCCAGTGTAAAATAGAAGTTCATTTTAGAGCAGAGGTTTAGGATTGGTAACATCTTGCCAAAAATTGTCTTATATGTTTAAAACTATAATGATGCCTGTGAAATTTTTCAGTTGCACAAATTGAGTGTACTGTTTGTTTTCTCTGAATATACCTTCCCATCTGACCTAAGTTTTGTGTTTTGGGAAGAAATGTGAATTAGCTTTGGTTCACTGGTCCTTCTCTTCGGATATGCATTTAATTTTTTGACAATGAAGAGTATGTTGTTTTTTTATTTCTGTATTTGAGATTTTAAAGGATGCAAACTGTTCCACATAATTAAGGCTGCTTGTTTTTCAGAGACAGATATTCAAGAACTGCTTTTAAAATTGAATGATAGTGTTAAAAGCCCAGACAAAAATATACGTACTAGGGCACTTTGGGTGATATCCAAGCAGACGTTTCCTGCTGAAGTCATTGGCAGAGTAGTGAGTATGGTTTTTGTATGTTTTCTTAACTACATGCCACTTTAAAAACTCAGGCTTATTTGTATTTATTTGGTTCTGTCTTTTAGGTATCCAGTATAATTGATTCATTAGAAATAGTATTTAATAGAGGAGAGGTGCATTCTGCTGTTGTTGATTATGAAGCATTAAATGTCATCATAAGGTATGAATTTGCTGTTTTGGAAGAATAATTTCAGTAAATTTAGAATTTACTTCAAGGAGTGGACTTTGGGGACTAAGATATGAGTTAGACATTAAAAGAACAAAATGTCTTCTAAGCTAAAAGTCTCAAGGAAAAAAGGTAACAGTAAAAAGGAAGTAGATATATTTATGTTACTAGGTTTATTTATTTATTTATTGTTTTTGTTTATTTTTACTGAGTCTTAAAAATGAAGTCTTGGTTGGGGTGCCTGGCTGGTTCACTTGGTAGAGCATGCTACTCTTGATCTTGGGGTCCTGAGTCCAAGCCCCATGTTGGGTGTAGTGCATACATAAAAATAAAGTCTTGGTTATGTTGCTGCTGCTGACATTCTGATATTAAAAATTATTTCCATTAAAGCTTTTCCAAGGGTTTAAAAAATAATAGGCTCCCGAGTAGGCTATAGGGGGTGTATAAGAAGGCATTAACAGTGACTAGCAGCAGATGGGAGAATAGGAAAATGCTCTACCTTCTTTCTTTCCATCCCTGCTCTTTCAAGGACATGCTAATAACAGCACACAAACTTTGTTGGTGTGGTTTATCTTACCCAGTTTTTCATTCTTTTAAATCTGTATTGAGCTATTTACTTTAACTACTTAGTGTTCTGATGTCCTGAATGATGCTCACACTAGATCACAATTCTCTGGTTATCTTCTTTTTTCTTAAGATTTTATTTATTTATTTATTAGAGAGCAGGAGCAGGGGTGAGGAGGGGCAGAGGGAGAGGGAGAAGCAGGCTCCCCACTGAGCAGGGAGCCCTATGTGATGCAGGGCTGGATCCCAGGACCCTGGGATCATGACCTGAGCTGAAGGCAGACTCTTAACTGACTGAGCCACCCAGGTGCCCCTCTCTGGCTATCTTCTAAAAGAAAGTTGAATTTACAAGTATTTAAAAAAAAAAATCAGTATTTTAAATAATCTGAAGATAAAATGGTGTGTTCTTTATTTTTTTAAATTTATAAAATAAATATGAAAATGTACAAATCAGTAAGTAAAAATTACATCTATGTGAATGCATATATGTATACTAAAACAGATGGACGGTACTAGGTATATTTCTGTGTGCTGCTTATTTTCCTGGTAGTTTAGACATAAAAGGTGAGGTCAAGCTAATTTCATTGATTTCTCTTTTATAGGCTAATTGAACAAGCGCCAGTTCAAATGGGAGAAGAGTCAATTAGGTGGGCAAAACTGGTCATACCTTTAGTGGTTCATTCAGCTCAAAAGGTACATTTGCGGGGAGCAACTGCTCTAGAGATGGGAATGCCATTGTTGCTTCAGAAACAACAAGAAATAGCATCTATCACAGAGCAGCTTATGACTACTGTAAGTATTATTCTGTGTAAGGATTTTTTGGATACTACATTGAAAGTTTTTGGCCCAAGCATAGGGCTCATAGTGGAATAACTGCATTATGATCTAGGAAGTTCCACTTTTAACAAAACATAAGTAATTGCTTAAGTTAGTGTAGGCACACTACTAGTTTAAGGAAGGGAGCTGTTTTATTTGGTGTTTGTAGGATACAAGCATTTTATTTCATCCCCAGTGAATAGTGATTGAAAGGAATTGCATTTCTGGAAAAGGGAGAATATTAACTGATTTTAGTACTCTGGGTTGTTTTAACGTAATTCCAATAGGTATAACATAAGTGTGTGTAATGTGTACAATTTCCTAAAGTTACTACTTGTCTCAGGTTTTAGGCTTTTCTACCATTGTTCTTGTAACAAATATTTATTGAGCACGTATATGCCGGGCATTGTTTTAGACACTGAATATAGCAGTGAACAAAAGGAACTTTAGCTTATTTTCTAGTGGGAGAGGCAATAGAGAATATGGTATATTCAGGGAAGAACATTATGGAGAACCGTAGAGACTAGATGGAGAGTGCCATTGGAGAGGAAGGGTATGGTCAGGGAAGGAAAAGGAATAGGATATTTAAACAGTGATTTGAAAGTGGTAAAGGAATTAGCTACTTGGATGATAGGGAGTAAGCTCATTCTAGGCAGGAGGAACCATGAGAGCAAAAGTCCCTGCTCTGATGGTTTTGTGTTGGTGTTCAGTGAACACTGGGCAAGTGCAGTATGATAGAGTGAATGAGGATGAGAGGATTAGGAGAAGATGTCAGAGAAACGGCCAAATCACATAGGACCTTGGCGGTATTGCAAGGCATTTTTTTTCCTCTGGCTTATATTGGAAACCATATTTGAAGGTTTTGAGTCTAGGAGTGTTTATATGTACTGACTTGGGCTTTAAAGGGATCACTGTGCCTGTGTTGAGAATAGACTCTAGAGGAGTTGAGTAGAAGAAGGGAAACTAGTTTAGAGATAACTTCAGTCATCTAGGTGACGTGAGGGAGCCTTCCACATTTTAAAACCTGGGATTTTGTTTATTTTTTAAAATTCAGGAGGCCTCATGGGAATGTTTGGAGCCTAATAAAGTAGCTCCAATGTCTTTGCAAGTTTTTTTATTTTGATAAGTTTATTAATTTTCTAAGAGCATATATAAAATTCTTTATAAGTTTGACTTAAAATGTTCTCAGCTGTTACCCATGAAGCTATTATTTTTTTAATTTTTTTTGAAGATGTTATTAGGAGACAGTAGCAGAGGGAGAGAGAAGCAAGACTCCCCACTGAGTGAGGAGCCCGATGTGGGGCTCGATCCCAGGACCCTGGGATCATGACCTGAGCTGAAGGCAGATGCTTAACGACTGAGCCACCCAGGCGCCTTAATGTATTTTTAAGAGTGGAAAATTAAAACATTATTATTTGAACTCTAATGATATATATGCTGAAGTTTTCAGGGAGAAGTATATTGGTAGAAAAAAATTAAGCTGAATTGATGGATGGAATAATGGTCGGATTTATGATGAGACAGGCACAGTAAGATGTTAACTATATTTATATTTGGACTTTCACTGTAAAACTTTCAGCTTTGCTATACACATGAAAGTTTTTCTAATAAAACATTGGGAAAAGTTAATTCAACTAAAACAGTCTGATACTGCATATTTTGTTTTTTCAAGAGTGTTTTTGGTAAATATTTTTGCTTTTGTTTGCAGAAATTACTTTCAGAACTCCAAAAGCTATTTATGAGTAAGAATGAGACTTATGTGTTAAAATTGTGGCCTTTGTTTGTCAAACTTCTTGGGAAGGTAAGTTTATAGTTAATAGTTCACAGTTTATACCTGTGAGACCCTTTCATTTCTTAGCCTTACATTATTCATGCATGCCACATATGTAAATTTAACGGTTCACTAAAATTGGTTTGCAAACCCACAGTAAGTACTTCTGCTGCTTTTCCAGTCAATTGCAAACCTGCAGAGTGGCATAATTTGAGTCCCCCGGTATGCACGTTCTCAGCTGAGGTAGAGCAAGATAATGCTTTGCCTTTTTATTTGAACTCAATGTTCTTTTTTTTTTTTTTTTTTAATATTTATTTGGGGGAGAGAGTGAGCGAGAGAGAGGGAGAGCGCGCATGAGCAGGGGCAGAGGGAGAGGGAAAAGCTGACTCCCCTGCTGAGCAGGGAACCTGATGTGGGGCTTGATCCCAGGACCCTGGCTGGGATCATGACCTGAACCAAAGGCAGATGTTTAACCGACTGAGCCACCCAGGCACCCCTCAGTGTTCTTTTTAAAACATGTCCCTTTTCGGGATGACTCTCATGCTCTCTCAAATAAATAAAATCTTTAAAAAAAAAAAATGTCCTTTTCATAAATCCATTTAGTGACACATTTCCCACGTTTTGTGCTTTTTCTTGGTGAATTTAGTTTCAAATGGCCCCCAGGCTTAGTGCCAAGATGTTGTCTATAGTTCCTAAGCACTAGAAGACTGTGATGTGCCTTAGGGAGAAATTACATGTGTTACATAAGCTCTGTTTAGGCATGAGTAACAGTCGTGTTGGCTGTGAGTTCAGTGTTAGTGAGTCAACAATACATACGGTGTCTTTAAACAGAAATAGAAAACAAGGTTGAGTTCGATTGGTTGACAGAAAAGGTTCTTGTAGGAACCTAACCCTGCATCTTTCCTAGGAGTAGTGGCTTAGTGCTTGCTAACAGTGTTTGCAGTGGACTTCATAGAACTTTGGTGCATCGTGAGGATTGACCGTATGTTCTATCTTTAAGCCAGGTGTTCTGTTTGTGTTTTTTTTGTTGTTTTTGAGGGAAGGGATGCGTTTTTCTTTATTGTGGTAAATAAACAATTATCATAATCATCGTAAGTGTACAGTTCAGTGCCATCAAATACATATGCGAGTTGTGTAAACGTCACTATCTGTACCCAAAATTTTATCATCTCCGAACAACTTTATACATATAACTCCTCCTGCTCCCCCACCCCCAGCCCCTGGTAACTGCTGTTCTATCTGCTGTCTCTGGATTTGCTAATTCTAGGCATCCCACATAAGTGGAATCATGCACTATTTGTCCTTCTTTGTGTGGCTTATTATGCTAGACATAATTTTTTCAAATTCTAATCATGTTGTAGCAAGCACTTAACTAAATTTCATTCTTATGGCTGAATAATATTCACTCTTAAGTATGTAACTCATTTTTGTTTATTCATTTGTTGATAGACAATTGGCTTATTTTTACATTTTGGCTATTGTGAATAATGTTGCTGTAAACATTGATGTACAAATATATGTTGGATTCTGTGCTTTTCATTCTTTTGGATATATGTGTAAGAATGGAATTGCTGGGTCATAATGGTAGTTCTGTGCTTAACTTTTAGAGACACCTCCAAATTGTTTTCCACAGTGGGTGCACTATTTTACATTCCTACCAGTAATAACACTAGGGTTCTTTCTAGTTTTTCTTTTCTTTTAAGGATTTATTTGTTTATTTTAGAGAGTGCTTGAGGGGGAGGGGCAGAGGGAGAGGGAAAGAGAATCTCCAGCGGACTGCCAACTGAGTGAGGAGCCTGACACAGGATCCTGAGATCATGACCGAGCTGAAATCAAGAGCTGGATGCTTAACTGACTGAGCCACTCAGGTGCTTCTGGTTTTTCCTTGCCGAACTTATTTTTTGGTTTTTGGTATGTTGGCCATTCGAGGAAATTTTGTTCTGTTTTGTAAAACTGGGCAGTTTTAATGTTTTTGACAATATGATAAATAGTTCTCTTGATGATTGCAGACTTATAAGGCTGTTGGGTAATAACTGAGAAACAGTCACAGTAGTGGTGGTTTTCCTGATTGGTGTGCCATCTTCAGTAATGATTGTAAGGAGTTACTTGTATGAAACTGCTGTTAAGTCAGACCGCATTTATGAACCATCATTTTCAGGATTGTTAGTAACCTGGACATATTTCTCCCAAATAACCTTACCGCTTTGTGTTACAAGACCCAGCTTGTTCACATCTGTGTCATTGACAGTACCTTTAGCAGTAATAAACCAAGGTTGTATATAGTGGGGATGAGTTTTTGTTTACACCATATATTGAGAGGTAAAAGGTGATTTTCAGTCTAAGACATATTGTATGGGCCTTCTTGAAACATAAACCATTGGCCTAATGAATCATATTTAGGTGGTTTTCATATAAAGCCATTTTCAATGGAGCGGACTTTAGTAACAGTAAACCACCTCTTTTATGCTCTCTTGTTTCTCTGTCCTATTTGAGTAACTTAATATTTGTTTCTCCCTGGGCATGAACCTTGAGCAGAGAGTCTCCCCATTTTCCTGCTTTCTCTTTTTGGTTTTAACTATATTTGAAAGTATTTTAGCTCAGGACTGTCTCTCTGTGTCCTGTAGATAGGCAGGTACTGTTCCTGTGGAATCTTTTATCGTTCTTTAGTTTGGTGTTTCCCTTTTCTTGCATCTTAATAGTACGTTTTGCCTTTTCTCAGTATGGTGCTATTTATGGTAGTGCTTAGACTTCATCTGCTGCCTTTGAACATTCATGAGCCTCTTGACTTTTCTTCTTTCTCTTTTTCTCCTGGTGATCCAAGTGATAATCCATAGCAGTTATGATGTAACTCAATAAGTTGTTTCGTGGCATGGTGACTGCAGACCAGCCACGTGGGCTCGAAGAAGCCCTAACTATTTTGGTCTCCGAGACCTAAGAGCTGACTGCCCAGAACCCAGGGCAGGAAAGCCTTTGCCCATTTTTTATTTTTTTCATTTCATTTTTTTTTTTAAGATTTTATTATTTAATTGACAGAGACATAGTGAGAGCAGGAACACAAGCAGGGGCAGTGGGAGAGGGAGAAGCAGGCCTCCAGACGAGCAGGGAGCCTGGTGCGGGGCCTGATCCCAGGACCCTGGAATCATGACCTGAGCCGAAGGCAGACGCTTAACAACTGAGCCACCCAGGTGCCCATTTTCCCCTTTAAAAAAAAAAATTTTTTTTTTTTAAGATTTTATTTATTTGACAGAGAAGGGTGTGCATGCACATACAAGCAGGGGGAGCAGCAGAGGGAGAGAGAGAAGCTGGCTCTCTGCTGATCAGAGAGCCGAATGCGGGGCTTGATCCCAGGACCCTGGGATCATGACCTGAGCTGAAGGCAGACACTTAACTGACTGAGCCACCCAGGCATCCCACCTTTGCCCATTTTTTAATTGGGTGGTTTGTTTTTATTCAGTTGTAGGAGTTCTTTATTCTGGATTATTAATCCCGTATCAGATAAGTGATTTTCAAATTTTTTTTTCCCATTCTGTAATGTTGTCTTTTCACTTGATGATATTCTTTGGTGCACAAAAGTTTTTGATGAGGTCCAATATAAATTAGAGTTTTTTCTTTTCATTGTCTGCTTTTGGTGTCATAGCCATGAAGTTATTGATGTCATGAATCTTTTTCCCTCTGTATTCTTGGAGGATTTTTATAGTTCTAGTTCACATAAGTTTTTTCTTTGATCCATTTTGAGTTTATTTTTGTATGTAGTGTAAGGCAAGGGTCCAGTTCTCATTCTTTTGCATGTGGATATTCAATTTTGCAGCACCATTTGTTGAAAAGAATGGTCTTTATAATAGTAAATGGTCTTGGCACCCTTGTTGAAAAATAAGGGGCGCCTGGGTGGCTTGGTAGGTTAAGCCTCTGCTTTCGGCTCAAGTCGTGATCCCGGGATGCTGGGATCGAGTTCCGTGTTGGGCTTCCTGCTCTGCAGAGAGCCTGCTTCTCCTTTTGCCTCTCTCTGTCTCATGAATGAATAAATAAAATCTTTGAAAGAAAAATCAGTTGACAGCAGGGGCACCTGGGTGGCACGGTTGGTTAAGTGTCTGACTCTTGATTTTGTCTCAGGTCATGATCTTGGGGTCATGAGATGGAGCCCAACGTGGGATTTCACACTCAGTGCAGGGTCTGCTTGAGACTCCCCCCTCTCCCCCAGCCCCAGATAAATAAAAAGAAAAACAAATTGACAGCGTATGTGAAGGTTTTATTTTGGGGAATCTCTATTCCATTGGTTTGTATGTTTATCCTTATGCCATTACCATATGTTTTAATTACTTCAGTTTTGAAGTAAGTTTGGAAGGGAAGAAGTGTGAGTTCTCCAAACTTACTCTTTCAAAATTGATTTGTCTGTTTGGGGCTCTTTGCAATTCCATAATGAATTTGAAGATTGGCTTTTCTTTTTTGTGAAGACGGCTGCTGTACTTTTAATAGAGATTGTTTTGAATCTGTAGACCGCTCTGTGTAATACTGACATTTTAATGGTATTAAAACTTTCTATACTTGAATGGGGGATGGTTTTCCATTTATATAGGTCTTTTAAAAATGTTTTTCAGCAATATTTTGTAGCTTTTAGAACAAGCGTTTCACCTCCTTGGTTAGATTTATTCCTAAGTATTTAATTCTTTTAGGTGCTAATGTAAATGGAATTGCTTACTTAATTTTTCAGATTGTTAGTTGCCATTGTGTAGAAACAGCTGATTTTTTTTTTTTTTAAGACTTTATTTATTCATGAGAGACAGGCAGAGGCGGAGGGAGAAGCAGGCTCCCTGCAGAGCAGGGAGCCCGATGCGGGACTCGATCCCAGGACCCTGGGATCATGACCTGAGCCGAAGGCAGATGCTTAACCGACTGAGCCACCCAGGCGTCCCAGAAACAGCTGATTTTTGTGTGTTGATCTCTGCAGTTGCTAGTAGCTTTCTTAGGGATTCTTTGATTTTTTTAAGCAAGTTATTTTTTGTTAATGTTTATATGCTGTTTAGTTTATATGTGATTTTATAGCTACAGTTGCTAATGTTTCATGTTTTAATGTTTGTTTCCTTGCGATACATTACTTGTCATTTGTTCATTTTTCCCTTAACTTTTTCCTGTTTATTTCAGTGTATTTGAAAACTGGGTTTTTTTTAGTTTCGGTGTTCAACATTTCTTATTTTTTCAAAAGTACTAGTTTTTTTTTTTGTATGGATACCATTTTTACTTGGTATTATGTTGGTAAAATTTGGGATTTATCTTCCTAATTTCTAATGTTTAGAAATGTTGTTTTATGCATTTATGCATTCCCTATTCATGGGGCACTATATCTTGTGATCTTGAGTTTTGAATGTGTGTGTACACAGAATCCAGTACATTTTAAACTTTAAGACTTTATATAGCTAACACTGAATGAATTAGATAAATGAATAATAATAGTGCCTATCTGTTTTAGGCAGGTAAATAACTTTGTTATGATTTTTCATTTTTAGACCTTGCATCGAAGTGGGAGTTTCATTAATTCTCTATTACAGCTGGAAGAACTAGGATTTCGCAGTGGAGCACCCATGATTAAAAAAATAGCTTTTATTGCTTGGAAGAGTTTAATAGATAATTTTGCTTTGAATCCAGGTAAGTAAGTAATGTCTTAAAATTTTGATTTTTCTACGGATTTTACTCAAGATGAACAAAGCCTTTCTGATTTTTTAGGATTTTATATTGAAACTTAACCTAATTGAATTGAATATATATTTCTTTTAATTTTAAGGGAATAAACTTATAGCCAAAAATAGAATTAAAAAGCCTCGGCATAATTGAAAATCACAGATATAAAATTTGTTTTAAGCTATTTCAAAAATTAAAGTGACAGATAACCATTTGTGGCTTTTTTAGTATATTTCAGCACTTAGTTGAGCACTTTGAGTACCTCTAATTTAATCATCACAATAGATCTGAGATACAAAGTATTATCACTATTTTAGAGAGATTAATTTATCAAAGGTCACTTATAGCCAGTAGATGATAGGAAGCAATTGTGATTGCTATGAAACATGACTGATAAAACATTTTTCCTCTCAGCACCTTTAGAATAGTGCCTAATAGTGGGTTTTTACTATTAATATATACAAGTGATTCCTTTTGATTTACCTTAACTTTATCTTCCTGATGTCTAGTGGAAGTGTTTGATATACAGTTGACCCTTGAACAATGGGAGGGTTAGGGATGCTAGCATCCCACTGCGTACAACTTTTCACTCCCCCCAAATTTAACTACCGATAGCCCACTGTTGACCAGAAGCCTTACCAATAACATAAACTGTCGGTAACCCATATTTTGTATGTTATATGTGTTATATACTCTAGTCTTACGATAAAGTAAACTAGAGAAATAGTAGGAAAATCATAAGGAAGAGAAAATACATTTGCAGTATTGTATAAAAAAAATCTGTGTATAAGTGGACACATGGAGTTCAAACCCATGTTCAAAGGTCAGCTGTATATATGAGAAAGTATATAGCCCAAAAGTAGGTCAGTAGGAATACCTGCTTAATTGGGTAATCATAGATATAATCAATACTGTATATTTATAAGATCTGCTATGTAATATTGATTTCATCCTGTATTTTTTCTCTGCCAAAGACAATAATAATTAATAATCCTTTCTCTTCCCCCTTGTAGTGTGTTTTGTAAGGTGATTATTTTCATTAACTATAATTTTATTGAAAATATTGATAGTGCATTGCCAGGCACAAATTTTAAGTGTAAATGTTACCTTTTTTGTTGTTGTTATTTATGAACCGGTAATTCAAGTTGATGTTCTGGACTAAAGCATAAAATAGACATGACTTAAAGAAGATAAATTAAATGCTATCTCATTTGTTCCCACAGTGATTTGACTTTATTTTTTTCTTTATAGAAATGTTAATTGTGAAAGCTAAATGGCAGAACAGCTGTCAGAAACATTAATGCCATCCCACCAAATACATAGCTTGACTGATGTTTCAAAATCCTTTTCAAGTCTTTTTGATAAGTTACTTGAGCACACGGGCATCTTATTTTGTGTATTCCCAGTTGTTAACTCAGTGTTAGGCTGGACAGTTTATTGTGGAGGACTGCCCTGTGTGTTGAAGGAAGTTTATCAGTATCCTTGGGTGCAGCCCACTAGATGCCTACAACATCCTCTGTACCCCTGCCTCTCGGGTCTAACAACCGGAGATACTGTAGACATTGCCAAATGTCCCTTGGTAGGAAGATTGTTCCTGGCACACACAGTTTCTAATAAACATTACTTCCTCTTTTTTTCTTTTTCTCTTTCTTTGACCTTATTACATGTAGTCTAGTTGTCTGGAGTCTGTCACATTGAAAATTTGAGGTTTAACAAGAACGGCTGATTTAAAAAAAATTTTTTGTATATCTGTTCTCTTGCAGTCAGAAAGACTTAGATACTTATTCTTAAAATTTAGTCTTCAGCTCTTATATCTTTTTACCCATGTGCTTATTTTCTTTTAAGAAATACTGTGCAGTGCAAAAAGGCTGAAGTTGTTAATGCAGCCTTTGAGTTCCATCCATGTGAGAACAGAAACTTTAGCACTAACAAAGCTAGAAGTCTGGTGGTATCTACTGCTGAGACTTGGACCTCATCTTCCTGCTAACTTTGAACAGGTAATGAAAGTGTTGAGTATTAATGCTTGGTGTGTTTTAATGCATTCTTAAATTCTTAACAATCTAATCTTTCAATGTTACATTTGCTGTGTTCTATAAAAGATCTTTTTTCCCTAACACAGAACTTGAGTTTATTTTTCTCAAAAGATATTCTCTAGTTGTGTGAAATGGAATCTCTAAAGCTTTCTTAATCAGCAGCCACTCAAATATCTATCCTTACTCTAAAGGCATTTTGAGAGATTTTTTTAAAAGAAATTTCATAGCATTTAGAATATAGTTGAGTGTAAAATCAACGTTACTGATACAGAAATCTAGTTTACACTGGGTTGATAAAAAGTTGGATCAATTCTTATTTTTTGTATCTCCTATTTCTAGGCTACATAATGGTAACAAATCATTTAATCCCAGCATAGCTTTGCAGTATTATTAATGATTTTACAAATTTTTTTTAGATTTTGATATCCTTGCTGGCATTTAGACATACCTATATCTCCTTGATTTTGCAATTAGTCCCAACCTTGGTTTCTGTATTTTACAATAAGTAAAAAAGGATAGCTCTGATAATTTCTATGTTTTTCATTTCTTTATTGTATTTATCTGGGATTTTGGAATATATCTTACTGTTAAATCTGTAGTCCTTGTCTTTTGGTCTGTGTATGTAATTGCACGGCAGTGAGTATATTATTGGAAATTGGGTTTTATAATAAAATATACTTGAAATTTTAGCAAGTTTTTAAAATTCTTAATTATTTAATGTCTTAAGGCTTTTAAACTTAACAGCATGAATTAATTGGAGTTGGGCATTAATGATAATATCTAACAGGAACATAATTACTACAGATTCTACCATTATGAGGTCCTAAGTAGGCTAATTTTACCCAGTTGCCCCACACATTCATTGGTATAATTTATGCATTGGCTAGATTTGATTGGTACTGGAATGATCTTAGAAATGAGCTTGAGGTTGTCTTAGTTCATTTTTTTTAGGGTACATTTTTAAAAAGCTTAAAATGAGTCTGTACTGATAGCATTAAAACTTGGGCATTGTTTATGTGTATAATTTCCCATCTGGAATTTAGAACTGAAATTTATAGATAGTACACATTTATAGGGCAAATAAAATTGTAATAAAAATTTTTACTTTTCCACTTACAGTTTTTTTAGCCAGTGCATCCAAACAGCCAGTAGGATTCAGCATATCAAAAGAACTTAAGAGTTCTTCTTAAATTTAACTGTATCATGCAAGACTTAAAAAATATAGCACTTAGGTAGTTTAGAGATAGTTTTCCTTTTTTTGTTTTTAACCCCAATAGGTGTGTGTGCCTCTGATTCAAAGTACAATAAGCATCGATTCTAATGCTTCACCTCAAGGCAGTTCGTCTCGCGTAACTGCTTCTCCGGGTTTAAGTCCTATGACTCCTATACACAAAGGTAAGAGACATACTTGGGTTTTGTTTTTTTTTTTCCTATTTCTTAAAAGGGCTTGAATGTAGCCTCTGCTCAGTTATTCACATACAATGAAGCACTTTATAATTTTGACTCCCTAATCACAGTCAGTTCTATACTAATTGTTTTCCCTGTGTGTTACTGTTGTAATTGTGTTGTTGTGGTTGGGAAAAGATGGGTGTTTTTCCACTATACACGTGAGATGTATTACAAACGACTGTTGTGTTTGTTTCAGAGCCAGAATTTTAGAGCTTTTATTAAAAACAACAGATTTTAACAGATTTTTTTTTTTAAAAGTGGCTTAGCAGGGTGCATGAGTGGCTAAGTCAGTCAAGTGTCAATTCCTGATTTCATCTCCGGTCATGATCTCAGGGTCTTAGCATAGCATCTGCTTGAGGTTCTCTCCCTCAAACAAACAAATAAATCTTTTTTATTAAAGCTCCTCCCCCCTCAAACAAACAAATAAATCTTTTTTTAAAAAAGTGGCTTAGTTTATATACCATTGGAAGAAAATGATTTGCTGGTTTTTTTTTTTTATGTTAGCTATTCTAGTCAGATATTTATATTTAAGTGTCAGGAATGCCTGCATAATAATATTTCAAAGTATGAATTAATGCTTGATAATTATCTTCATTTAAATGGTGTGTGACACTAATCCTGTTTTTAACCTAATATAATTAGGAACTCTGTTGTGGGCTTTAAGCAAAAATTCAATTTTTGTTTGACAAAAACTATTTACTTTTAAAGATATATTTCACTGAAATGAAGTAAACAAAATATGTTCACTTGGGTAGCTAATTTAAGTTAATATAACTTACCATTTGTGTTTTATTTTGATTTGTTTTTAAGGTGCTTCCCCATATGGAACTCCTGTAACTCCCCGGATGAACTTAAGTTCAAATTTTGGTGGAATGGCCACAATCCCCTCTATTCAACTTTTGGGACTTGAAATGCTGCTTCATTTTCTGTTGGGTCCGGAAGTCTTGAGTTTTGCTAAGCAAAACAAACTTGTACTGAGCTTAGGTATTTACTTTTTTAAAACTGTTCAGAGCAAGGCTGCATTAGGCGAGAAGACATTTATCTTCCCCAAAGGCAAAATATTCTGTAATTACATATGAAATAAATATAAATCTTTTTAATAGAAAACACATGTCAGACCACCTAAAATTTTATATTGAGCTGTTTTATTTCATAAAGCTTTGGTTTGGCATAATTGCCCTTTTTTCTCTCTTTTTTAGAGCCACTCGAATATGCGTTAATCAGCAGCTCTTCTTTTTTTTCCAAACATGCAAATACACTTATCACTGCTGTTCATGATAGCTTTGTTGCGGTTGGAAAAGATGCTTCTGGTAAATATTTAAGAGAAAATTTTTTATTATTTGTTTAAACCTGTGTTTAAAAAGAAAATAAAATAGCATATATTTGTATAGTGCCATCTTTTGGCCAAATTGTGCTCGAAGAACTTTACATATAAATCATTTAATTCTGAAAGTAACCTCTGTTAATCCATTTTTCAGATGAAGAAACTGTGTTGTACAGAGAAGTTAATAACTTGTGCAAAGTCACATAGTTGGTGGTGGAGCTGTGATTCAAACCTGGGCTCCATGGCCCTAGCATCTACACTTAAATCCCTGTGTTTGATGGCCTATCAAATATTGAGATGAAATTTCAAAAATAGTTTGCTGTTTAACTGGCTGGGAAATTTTTTTCTAGGGGCTTTCAGGTGTCCTTTTGAATCTTTTGTTTTTTTTCCTTGTCTCGGAAGCAAAAGGTATTCAGTAAAGAAAATGCAGATAGCAGAAAAAAGAAAATAATTACCCTTAATTAAATTACAGGGCCCATTGCTAATAGGTTACAATTTGAAAAAATATTTCTTTGTTGTGATAGTGTTTCATAAACTGATAGGGTTGAATATTCTAAGAATTACACTCTAACTATTGCTCAACTTATTTCTTTAGTGTAAGGATGTAAGGGTAATAAGCCTTTATAGTCATACCTACTACATTCTAAAGTTTGTTTTGTTTTATTTGGCAGATGCAGTTGTCAATGCTATTTGGAAGGAGCTAATTAGCTTGATGAAGTCAGTTATTGAATCAGGTAACTGCTATAACTGATCAAATGATTTTTATAGCACCCAATGAGTTTTTGTTTGGCTTTTGTAAATAAAATTTACTTTTAAGTCAATTTTTGAAGTGTATAGCTCCCTGACTTTCAAATAAAGCTATTTGATACATTTTAAAAAATCAGTGTCATAGCTAAGTATATGTTCTTATCACTAAAAATACTATATTTTCACCCTTAAAATACTTGCATATTGCTTTTTGCTTTTTGATAGGTAACAGAAAAGAGAGACCAGGTTCTGAAGTTTTGACCCTGTTACTAAAATCTTTAGAAAGCATAGTGAAGTCAGAAGTATTTCCTGTGTCAAAAACGCTGGTAAGGATAATGATTACATGCTGGAATTAAAAAATCGTATTCTGAAATTGAATTTTTTGGTGGAGATACTTACACAGACCAGGTTTTTTTTTCCATTTTAAGATTTTATTATTTATTTTAGAGACAGAGTGTGCACGCATACAAGCAGGGGGAGGAATAGGGTGGGAGGGAGAAAGAGGGGGAAAGAATCTCTCACTGACTCCATGCTGAGTGTGGATCCCCAAGCAGGGCTTGAGATCATGACCTGAGCCAAAACCAAGAGTCAGATGCTTAACCGACTGAGCCACCCAGGTACCCCCAGACTAGATTTTAAGATTTTATATCAGCAATTTAGCCCTGTAGTAAATGTTATTCCATTGACGTTGGAGTCATTTGAAACCTCAAAAAGTAAATGAGTATACCGGCAATGCAAAAATCTTCCAATGTCATAAGAATGAGCCATACAGAGAAAATGGGGTAAAGGACATGAAACAAGAACTGAGGAAACTCAGAACACTAATTTTATAAGATTGCTGAGCTCCACTAATAGTTATTTTGTACATTTAAGAAAATATCTGGTAATAATCTTGCGGAACTTTTGCAATTTAAATGAACTCTGTTTAACCAAGATAATGACTTTGGTATTAAACATCTTTTTTATCCTCTATACTAGAGAAAGAAAAAGCAAATTGGATATACTTTTTATAATAGTGAGTCTCCCAAGATAACTGCAGATGGAGTAAACTATGCCCTACTTAAATTCCTTCTGAGTCTATGTACTGGGATATCTACTATGCAGTAGTTCATAGTGGTTAATAGCAAGGGCTCTGGAGCAGACTAGGTTGAATTTCCCCACCCAATTATTTATTAGCTGAGTGAACTTGGTCAGTTTTTCTACTCTCTTACCTTTTGTAAAGGGAATATAGTAGTTTTATATAATTAGGTTAATAGCAGAGCACAATGGGTCAGGAACAAAATAGTCTGTAAATGCTATTTAGTATTATCATTAGTGTCTGATTCAAATGAGAATGTGAAAGCACATTTTAACTAACATAACCTTTTCTGTCATATTATGTCACTTGTTATGTAGTTCAAATTAATACCAGTATAATAATAATTTTGAATGGCATTTTGATAGGCTCTGTCATTTTTAGAGATGTCTTTAGACCCAGCTTCTAGTTAGTAGTCCTTTGAAATATACTTGCTTCTGGCACTAGTGAGTATATAATTCGTTGCAGAATATCTTTTTTGTGGTATAAAAAAAAAAAGGCCTTAAGGGCTATTAATAGAAAAATGTTTGAATAAACTGTGCAAATTCATACAGCAGTTAAGAATGTCTACATATATTGATGTTAAAACTCCATAACACAGTTGGATGAAGGTCAGTTCCAGAGTATCTCACAGTATAATGTCATTAATGCTATGAAAGAATAGATGTATGACAGCCCAGGAAGTTTTGTTTCTCTGTATACTTAAATACATGGACATTTAGAAGGTCTAGAAAAATAAACTCCGCAAACTGATAGTATTGATTTTCCCTGGAGATAAAGGACTTTGTCATTTTATGTTTTAGGTTTCTGTATTTGAACTTTTTAAAACTAATGTAAATATATTCACATTAATATATAAGCGTATTTGAACTTCTTGAACGGAGAATCTATTTACATTAATGAATGAGCATTACTTAACAATAAATTGTTAATTAAAAATATAGCTAACAGTACTAGATATTTACTAAGTAAAGTATTTTTATGGCTAATTTACAACAAAACTTTTTATTTTTCTTAGGTCCTCATGGAAGTTACAATTAAAGGACTGCCCCAGAAAGTATTAGGTTCACCAGCATATCAGGTTGCTAATATGGATATTCTTAATGCAAGTATCTTAAATGTAATGCTATAATTAAAATTAGCCAAAAGATAAAGTTCCATGATAGTTTTTTTTTTCCTTAACATAGTGAAATTTAGCTTGTAAAATTTTGAGAGAATTGGATTTGGATAGGCTGATTATGTTAAAGGGAAAAAACTGATAAAGTAATAGATTAAATAATTAAATATGACATTATTAATGGATCTATTTTTCTGAATTACACTAAAAAGTTCTAGCAGGAGAGTTTTCTGTTTGCTTATACATAGTAATAGTGGTTACTGTATAAAAATCTGGAAGCATAGTAACAGTTCCTTAATTATGGTGAAATAAATTTAATATCTCTAGGATATAGATGTATTTATTGGCCCAGCAAGTTTTAACTTAATGTTCTTTTTATATCTGGAATATGCCATTCCTCAGTTGCTCATGTAGATGGAATAGCTGTTACTAAAATAATAAAGAGCTTGATTTTTGTGTGCAGTTTATAGAAATATATTTGCTACCATTGTGTCATATCCTAAGTAATATCAACAGTTAAATTTCTTTAGCTTAAAAGGATCATTTTACATAATTGATTATAGAAAACAAGTGTAATAAGATTATACTCCTTATAACAAGAATATTGACTGCCTTCTTCCATCTTTCTTCAGGGAACTCCTGCTTTGTTCTTAATTCAGTTAATTTTCAACAATAATCTCTTGGAATATGGTGTAGATGATGAGAGGTAATTTAAACTAGTCTTTTTGTTTATCTTGGAAAGGATATTTGATGAATGAGATTCTTTCTTTTTTTTAAGATTTTATTTATTTGGGGGAGAGAGAGAGGATGAGCAGGGGGAGGGAGAGGGAGAAGCAGACCTCCCCCCACTGAGCAGAGAGCCCGAAGCAGGGCTCAATCCCAAGACCTGGAGATCATGACTTGGGCCGAAGGCAGATGCTTAAAGCAGCTGAGCCACCCAGGTGCCCCAGATGAATGAGATTCTTTTGAGTTATATGCTGTATCATTTTTTAAAAAAATCAAAGTAAGACCTTAACATATCTTGTTTCCTTGTTGGTTATTTTTAGACTTTTGTAATAGTGTAACATGTATTTTGGCAGAAAGCGCTGGATAATGCATGGCTCAATTTTTTCTTCAGGTTTTTTCTCAATCTGGAAACACTTGTTGGCTGTGTCCTTTCCGGTCCAACTTCACCACTAGCTTTCAGTGACTCTGTTTTAAATGTTATTAATCAAAACGCAAAGCTGTTGGAAAACAAGGAGCATCTCTGGAGAATGTGGGGTATTATAGTTACCCCATTAACGGAATTGATCAATCAGGTATAAGTGCTACATGTTTCCCTAAAACTTAAGGAACGTTTTCCTTTCTGTTCTTATTAGAGCACCTGGGGAAATAAATAGAAGTTTGAACTTGAATAGAAAATGCTAAATATTTTTTTCTTTGGGATTGATTAATTTCCTGTTCTTTATATTAGTTGATTTCTTTTATTGCATTTCTGCCTTATTCGAGAAAGTGTAACAATGGGGATGAATCAGCTCCCTTTTCTCCAGTAGTGGATTATAAAGCCAGAAGACTTAGATGTTATAATAATAACTTTTCATATTTATATTTTGAGTTCTTTCAGTATTTGTACTATGAGGAATAGTAATGGTTATCTTGACTAGACTGTATATTCAGATTTCCATGGGCAAGTCAGTTGGTGAATACCTCAGAGCCATATAATAGTCCCCAAACCAGTAATCCGTTTGAGTTGATGAACCCTTACATTTAAATACTTACTGAAGTGACATTATTGCCAGGGTGTGGAGCTCAACTTTTGTCACTCTTTTTTTTTTTTTTTTAAAGATTTTATTTATTTATTTCAGAGAGAGAGAATGATAGATAGAAAGCACGAGAGGGAAGAGGGTCAGAGGGAGAAGCAGACTCCCCGCTGAGAAGGAAGCCCGATGTGGGACTCGATCCCGGGACTCCAGGATCATGACCCGAGCCAAAGGCAGTCGCTTAACCAACTGAGCCACCCAGGCGCCCAGCTTTTGTCACTCTTAATGGTTCATCAGTTGCTTTATCAGTCTTTAAATGGAAATATTTTCTAGAAATACGCTGCTGTAATTCTCAAATGAAGACTCCAGAGAATTTATTAATGATAGTGCAGTCACCATTATTTTCACTACTAAGTTCACATCATTTAAACATTCTTCTGAAAGAAAAAAGTTTACATTCCTAAATAAGTTTCCTGCTGTTTGAAGGGTACCGAGGTCTTTTTAATAAGTTGTTGCTTGAATCCTACCTTCTATGTATAGTAAAAGATTTTGGAGTTACCTCTGGGATTCTTTTATAGGACTTAAACACCAAGTATTGTTTCTCAGGGTTACTGTAACATTACCACAAGCAGGTGGCTTAAAACAACAAGGATTTATTCTCTTATATCTCTGGATCCCAGAAATCCAAAATCAGAGTATTGGCAGGCTTGGTTTCTTCTGGAGCCCTGAGGGAGAATTGTTACTGTTCCTCTCACTTAGCTTCATTTGGTTCTGGCAATTTTTTTTTTTTTTTTTTTTAAAGATTTTATTTATTTATTTGAGAGAGAGAGAGACACAGCGAGAGAGGGAACACAAGCAGGGGGAGTGGGAGAGGGAGAAGCAGGCTTCCCGTGGAGCAGGGAGCCCGAAGTGGGGCTTGATCCCATCATGACCTGAGCCGAGGGCAGATGTTTAACGACTGAGCTACCCAGGTGCCCCTGGTTCCGGCAGTGCTTGATTGTTCCTAGGGTTATAGACAAATCACTCTAATCTCTCCCTCGATCTTCACATGGCATTCTTACCTGTGTCTTTTTTGTCCAAATCCCACTTGTTTTTAAAAAAAGATTTTATTTATTTATTTAACAGACAGATGGTGAGAAAGGGAACACAAGCAGGGGAAGTGGGAGAGGGAGAAGCAGGCTTCCTGCTGAGCAGGGAGCCCGATGTGGGGCTCGATCCCAGGACCCTGGGATCAAACCCGAGCCGAAGCCAGACCCTTATGACTGAGCCACCCAGGCGCCCCCAAATCCCACTTTTCTTTTAGGAACACCAGTTACTGGATTAGGGCCCACCCTAATCCAGTATGCTTTTATTTTAACTTGATTATATGTGCAAAGTCCCTATTTCCAAATAAGGTTATATTCATAGTTACAGGGGTTAGGAGTTCACCACCTCTTGAACATCTCAACACTGTATCTACCTCACTACAAATAGTAAGATGGTACTACATACGACTAGAATTAGATGGTAATTTGTCTAACTTCTTATTTTTCTTGTTTCAGACCAATGAAGTCAATCAAGGTGATGCCTTAGAACATAATTTTAGTGCCATATATGGTGCATTGATTTTACCAATAAACCATATTTTTTCAGTACAGAAATTTCCAGTGGTAAGGCAATGTCAAGTTTTTTACTTAAGGAATTTACATTTTTTTGAAAATGTTCTTTGACCCTTTATAATTAATTCCTACAGTAATTTTTTCTGCAGTGAGATTTCCTTATGACTTTTAATCAGCTTAGGGTAAAGGAAAATGGTGAAGGAAGAGAAATTCCTCTTGACCTTTGATAATTGCTGGTATTGTGGCATTATTATAATTCTTCAAATAGAATTCTATAGGGGAGGCAAATTTACTACTCTACGCTAGTCTCTTGTATGACACCTTAAATGTTACAGTGGTTTTTTTAAGATATATTGTTAGGTGTTTGATATGTAGATATACATTTTTAAATTTTCTTTTTTGTTATTTTTAGGCCACCATGAAGACCTTACTTAGAACTTGGTCAGAATTATATAGAGCATTTGCCCGCTGTGCTGCTTTGGTGGCAACTGCAGAAGAGAATTTGTGCTGTGAGGAACTTGCTTCCAAGATAATGTCCAGTTTAGAAGATTCAGGCTTTTCAGTGAGTTTATCCCAGTACTTACCTTGGTTGTATTTAAAGAATACTTTTCAAATAAATTGAGATTAACATTTGTGAACTGTCATTTATAAGGCTTCTAGTTTATAAGGTACTAATAATATAAAACAAGTAGCAGCCTTCTTTTTTTTTTTTTTAAAGATTTTATTTATTTATTCATGAGAGAGGAGGAGAGAGAGAGAGAGAGAAGCAGAGGGAGAAGCAGGCTCCTAAGGAGCAGGGAGCCCGATGCGGGACTCAATCCCAGGACCCTGGGATCATGACGTGAGCCGAAGGCAGACGCTTAACCATCTGAGCCACCCAGGCGCCCAAGTAGCAGCCTTCTAAAACAGTCTTGTGTCTTCGGTCTGCTTGACTCTGAGGTCCGTGTTTCAGGACCCTTAACAGTCATGCACTTTTACTACTGTGTTGCACATCTGCCTGTGCCATTCTAGATCTACAGTGCAAGGACCTTGTCCGGGAGCCACCTTTCTCGTGTCTGTCTCTTAGATCTTTAAAGGCAATCCCTTGGAAGCTTGTGGACCTAAAAAAGTAGGTCCCATTTCACTCCTTTATTTATTAAAACAAAACAAAAATACTTTTATTGGTATGCATCATTCTAGAATAGACCTCTTTTTTGTATTTATGCAGTTTACATATGTACATGAATACAGTTCTTGACACTTGAATTCTATTACTGAAGCATGCTTTTTTCATCTAGAAAGATGAAACAGTGGTTATCACTGTTAGAAAAGTAGAGATACCTATCAAGAGCTAGGAATTCATCTTTTCAAATTTTTTAATGCATTTATAATATCTTTTCAAAAATATTGGCACAGTTTTGATTGTTACATTTTGATACAATAGAATTTCAGAGTGACTTAAAAAATGTAAATCAGATCTTATCACTGAAAAACCTTCTGTAGCACTTAGAATAAAAATTTTGACTGCTTATAACTCTCCATGAGGCTTATGCTTCATTCCCCAGGGGGTCTTATTTAATTACATTTGTTAGTATCTATCGTGGCACCTTGTTATTTCCTTTTTGGCACTTATGTCACAATCATTTGTGTACTTCATTATGTTACTTAACCAACACTCCATGAGGTTAGGGACATCCAGTGTTGATATGTATCCCTGGAATTTATCTGGCACATAGTTGAATTTGTTGAATGACTTTTATAACAGAGAGGGAGAATGACGACCCATAGTTTTCATCTTTTAAATATCTTAAATTTTGGTTATGTTTTCATCTTTGTTCTCTTCTGGAAGAAATTTAGAATCTGTCAAGTTTTATGAAATAGACTTTAGATTTTTGCTTGGCTTGGTTGGTTACATTAAATTCATAGAGAAATTTAAAAATACTTTTACATCTTTATTTCCATCCAGGAATAATTGTGTTCGTGTATTTTGGTTCTTTTAATCTAACTTGCTTGATATTTGGTAGTTTTGAAGCTTTCAGCTATTATAAAGGCCCAACTATCCCCACCCATACAGAAACCCTATGTGGTTGCTGTTGGAGTATATAAAAGCTGTTGCTGATGTGCATTTCCTTTTATTGAACCAATCTTGTGTTCTTTGGATACACATAGTCGTAGTGAAAGTTTTTTCAAACATTGCGTATAGTGTTTTAAGATTTTTGCATGTATCTTCATTAGTGAGACTGGAATTCCTCATTCTAAAATTTTTGTCTAGTGTAAGAAGAATGTCGTATCTATAGTTGTATTGTCCATTGATCATCACCATTTTTAAAGTCACTGATAAATCTTGAATGAAAATACAGTAATCAGAATTATCCCAGTATTATGGAAAAGGATGTTCTACCCAATACTAACATTATGTGAACTATAAATTTTAAAAATTGAAAAAAATAAACACAAAAGAATTTATAAACTCATTAAAAATTCTGAAAAGATGGATTTCTAATTTTTTAAATTTTCTGTGTCTTTATATCCTGAATATTTTTGTTTTCATTTTCTGGGTAATTTTTTAGCTTATATCTGAAGGCTTCACTTTTCATCTTTTCTAATATATGCCTGTAAGATTATTATTGCTATCAATTATAGATAAATATTAATAAATTGTAAGTATCTTTGTTATTTATTATGTATTATAATTGATATTATATGTGTATTTATATATAATTTATAGGATAGCATTTATAAATATATATACTTTGCATTACAGATTCTATTATAAATATAAATACTAATTTTTTCTTCAGTTTTTGTTTTAGCTCGAATATAGTTAACCCGCAGTGTTAAATTAGTTTCAGGTGTACAATATAGTGATTTAACAGTTCTATACATTAATTACACAGTGCTCACCATGATAAGTGTACTCTTCATCCCCTTCATCTGTTTCACCCATTCCTCCCACGTACCTCCCCTCTGGTAACCGTCAGTTTGTTCTCTGTAGTTAAGAGTCTGTTATTTGGTTTGTCTCTTTTGTTGTTTGTTTTGTTTCTAAAATTCCATATATGAATGAGATCATATATTTGTCTTTCTCTGACTGACTTATTTCACTTAGCATTATACCCTTTAGATCCATCCGTGTTGTTGAAATGGCAAGATTTTATTCTTCTTTATGTCTGAGTAATATTCGATTGTGTGTGTGTGTGTGTGTATACACACACACACACACACCACATTTTTTTTATCCATTCATCTATTGATGGCCACTTAAAATTTAGCTATTGTAGATAATGCTGCAGTAAACATTGGAAGGCACATACCTTTTTGAATTAGTGTTTTTGTATTCTTCAGGTAAATACCCAGTAATGGAATTACTGGATCATATGGTAATTTTATTTTTAATTTTTCGAGGAACTTCTATACGGTTTTCCAGAGTAGCTGCACCAGTTTGCATTCCCACCATCAGTGCATGAAGGTTCCTTTTTCTTCACATCCTTGCCCCTGCTTGTTGTGTTTTTAGTCATTCTGATAAGTGTGAGGTGATATCTCATTGTAGTTTTGATTTGCATTTGTTTGATGATGAGTGATGTAGAGCATTTTCTCATGTCTGTTGGCCATCTGTGTATCTTTAGAGAAATGTCTTTTCATGTTTTCTGCCTGTTTTTAATTGGATTATTTGTTTTTTGATGTTGGGTTTTATAAGTTTATTTTGGATGCTAACCTTGTGTCAGATATTTTGTTTGCAAATATCTTCTCCCATTCCATAGATTGCCTTGTAGTTTTGTTGATTGTTTGCTTTGCTCTGCAGACATTTTTTTTTATTTTGATGTAGTCTCAGTCATTTATTTTTGCTTTTGTTTTACTTGCCTCAAAAGAAAAAAATGTTGCTATGGCCAATGTCAGAGAAATTACTGCCTGTCATCTCTTGCAGAATTTTTATGGTTTCAGGTCTCATATTCAGGTCTCATATTTAGGTCCTAAGATCGATTTTGAGATTATTTTTGCATATGGTGTAAGAAAGTGGTGCACTTTTATTCCTTTGCATGTAACTGTCTAGTTTTCCAAACACCATAGTCTTGCCCCTTTTGTCAAGGATTAATTGACTATAGAATTCATGGGTTTGTTTCTGGGCTTTCTGTCCTGGTCCATTGATCTATATGTCTGGTTTTGTGCCAGTACCATACTGTTTTGATTGCTACAGATTTGTCGTATATCTTGTTACTGGGAATTGTGGTACCTTTAGTTTTGGCATTTCTTAAGATTGCTTTTGCTATTTGGGGTCTTTTGTGGTTCCATTCAAATTCTAAAGTTGGTTATTCTGGGAAAAATGCTGTTGGGATTTTGGTAGGGGTTGCATTAAATCTGTAGATTGGTTTGGATAGTAAGGATATTTTAACAATATTTGTTCTTCTAGTCTGTGTGCGTGGAATATCTTTGGATTTATTTGTGTCATCTTCAATTTCTTTCATCAGTATTTTATACTTTTTAGACGTCAGGTCTTTTATCTCCTTGGTGAAGTATATTCCTAGGTATTTTATTATTTTTGGTGTAATTGTAAATGGGATTGTTTCCTTAATTTCTCTTCATTATTTGTGTATAGAAATGAAACGGATTTCTGTATGTTGATTTTGTATCCTGTGACCTTACTGAATTCATTTATCAGTTCTAGTAATATTTTGGTGGAATCTTTAGGGTTTTCTTTTTTCTTTTTAAGGGAGAGCAGAAAGCGTGAGCAAGGGTGGAGGGGTTCAGAGGGAGGAAGAGCGAGAATCCCAGGCAGGTTCCACACTCAGGGTGGAGCCCAGCATGGGGCTTGAGGTCATGACCTGACCCGAAATCAAGAGTCAGATGCTCAATCGACTGAGCCACCCAGGTGCCCCATGAATGATTTTTTTAATATGTATTTTTAGATTCCTTTTGCTAATATTTTGTTGAGGATTTTTGCATCTATGTTCATCAGATACTGGTCTATAGTTCTCTTTTTCATAGTATCTTTATCTGTTTTGGTATCGAGGTAATGCTGTCCTCATAGAATGAATTTGGAAGTTTTCTCCCTCTTCTGTTTTTGGAATAGTTTGAGAAGAATAGTTGGTAACTGTTCTTTAAATGTTTGGTAGAATTCATCTGTGATGCTATCTGATCCTGGACTTCTGTTTGTTGGGAGTTTTTTGATTACTGATTCAATTGCATTGCTAGTAACCATTCTGTTCAAATTTTCTGTTTCTTCCTGATCAGTTTTGGGAGGTTATGTTTCTAGGAATTGATCTTCTATGTTGTCTGATTTCTTGGCATATAATTTTCATAATATTCTCTTATACTCCTTTGTATTTCTGTGGTGTCAGTTATTTCTCTCTTTTTTTTGTTTAAGATTTATTTAAGTCAGAGAAAGACAATTATAGGATCTCACTAGTATATGGAATTTAAAAAACAAAACAGGTTCCCAGGGGAATAGAGGAAAAAATAAAACAAGATGAAATCAGAGAGGGAGACAAACCATAAGAGACTCTTAATCATAGGATACATGGTTGCTGGAGGGGAGGGGGTGTAGGGATGGGGTGGTGGCTGGGTGCTGGACATTAAGGAGGGCATGTG